ATCCATCCATCTTTGAACCACTTCCTGCAGTGCAGAATTATGGGGGAATTGGAGCCAATACTAACAAGCAACAAGCACTAAGCAGGATGCACCTTTGACTGGACGCCACTCAGTTGCAGTGCACACACAGACACGCACATCAAAGTCACTTTCCCCAGAAGCCAGTTAACCTTCCAGTATGTCTTTGGACTGTGGGAGGAAACACATGCAAACACACAAACTTCAAGCAGATAGCAGCTCAGAAATTGAACCCAGGGTCCCTGAGCAGGGAGACAATAATGCTAACCCCTGTAGCCACCCATTTGTCTTTTTGATATGAAAATAGTTTTTCTATTCACAAGTGTTTTCCTCTACCTTTGGAATACTCACTGTACAATGAAATCCCCAAGATACCTTGGTTTCTTTGACTGTTGCTTTTAAAGGAATTTGGATTAGATCTTAAAGATTTGTGTTCCTTTCACTTTTACAGTATCTGAGGATGAAAGCTGTTGTACGGGCTTACTGATCTGTACTGCCTACAGAGTCTCCTGATGTTTTAAATATCTTGGGATTGCCAAATAGAGAACATCACACTCTCTGTTAACCAAACTTTTTCCCTCATGGCCAAGGAAGGCTTGTATTATATAGTGCCTGATTCTGAAGTTTGCTTGCTGTTTGCAAAATTCTGGCATCCGTGGATTTGTAAACTGTAACAAAATCCATATGGTATGGCAATATATTATTTTGTTTTCTTGTGCTATACCATTACATTCTACTTTTTGTTTGCAGTGTGAGGAACATCCTTGGAATCTCATCAGAACTGTGAAATGTTACTAAAAAGCTTTTTCATGAGTACCCGTGTTAACAGCTAAATATAGCATTGCTGCATGCCAATTCTGCTTGAAGAGAAATCCCTGTTTTTTTACAACACGTGTTCTCAGAAGATCGTCTGTGTGAGAAGGAAAAGCATGTTGGCCAGGCCACATTTTCCCCATTTCAGAAGAAGATTAAAACAGGCCTGCTTTTGTGTAATCCACAATTACAAAGGTTAATGGCACTGAACAATTTTTTTTTTTGCCCAATTTATATTTATGTATTTTCATACAAGTAATTACTCTAAAATGTTTTTGTTTGCAGTGTTATTTTCCTATTTACATTTTAAAAGAAATAGGTCAGTATGCATGACTAGGCTAAATATTGCAATGCTTTTACTACTTGTTATACAAAAACAGTGACAAAAAATACACAGTACCTTGTCTCTTAGAAGAAAACAGAGGGTGGAAAGATGATTGGTAGATGATATATCTTGGACATCCTGGGAATATCATTATTTCATAAATCATTTTTTTGGATGGGTACCAGAAATCGGTTTAATTAGTTTGATTAAATTATTATGATTAGAGAAAGACTTTATCAAGTCTAACTTGTGTCTCCTACTCACATGTATAAGATCAGCCCATTAAAATTTCATTGAAAGTTTGAATGTTTTAAAACCATTTTCAAACCTTAGAAGTACTTCTTCTAGGCTATACAGTATGTTTTCTTTACTGTGGGGCCCCAGAAAAGGGCTTCAGAATGGCTATCTGAGATATTCTATATTTTCATTAATCTGCATGGTAGCTTGGGGAGATATTTTTTGCACTATATTGGAAATACTGAAACTATGTGTGGCCAGTTTTATTTTGATATTGTTTTGGCTAATCTATGAAATTTTGGGTTAGATAGGAAAGGCATTTGTCCATGTTTCACTAATGGGAGAGTAAATAGATTGATTTTTAATTGACCTCTCATGGTAAACAACAATTTACCCCCACTGTGTTATCAAAGGTATTTATGATGCCATACTCCTGGTCAAACTGTGGCAAGCAGCGTAATTTAATTTTGGTATGCAAAGCTAACACACACAGGAGTGGATTTTGTCTGAATGTGGTAAAATGGACATTCAGGTTGACAGCAACCTGGGTGTCCAAGCACCTCTTGCTCAGGTGGGAAAGTTAATTGCTTGGGAAGACAAATTTAACATTTCTCCTGGGTGTTGTACACTGGAGTGCCACAAAGTATGTATTTGCTGAGTGCTTTACTTACTGAAGGATTTACTCTTACTGTGGTGTTCATTACATCTTGTTGCATGATAAAGTGAGGTCACACACTGCAAACTACACTGGTGAGTGTTTAAGGCTTTATTGGTGGGAGATAGTGGACCACTTAGCTCTGACTTGGCTTCCTTGATTTTCATGTTCAGTTTCCACCTACCAGTGAGGTACTGCTGGCATTTCAGTTCTGGTTCCAGGAACTTGAAATGGATGTCTGCTATGCAATCTTGTATCATAATTTTGGATGGGCATCCCGTAGAAAACATTACAATATAACTTAAATAGCCAGAACTGTGGTACACCCACTGTGGCTAATTATAATTGGGGGTAAACTTCAAAGGCGTCTTTACATGAGCTGTACAGTTGTCTCATTTTTTGAAAATAGAGTTGCAGAGTGATTTGTTGAAAAGATTCAATTCATAAGTACTGTATGTTGGATAAACCTATGGCCTATGTTGCCCTGAAACACCTTTTTTTCACCCTGTATGCGCTGTGCAGCAAGTATGTTAACTGTTTTCTGAACAGATTATCTTATCTGTAGGAGCTGCATCAAGCCAGCACAAAACAATACTCAAGTATCCAACATGGAACTAAATTGTTAATGTGTAATGACAGTCTTGTGCCTTAGACTGTATTGTAATATTAAGCAGAGTATAAGCATCACCCACCACTGTGATGCATCTGGCCTCTGGGTATGAGGAATCACTGCACCGTTCAGTCACATTTATTGCCCATGTGAGTTCTTTCTGATACAAGTGACTCAACCAAAAAGCAATCTGTGTCAAATGCGGAACTCTTTAAAAATCGCAACTACGGAATTAGACCTCAACGACAGTTGTTTATAATTCTGCAGATGGTTTTGTAATTAAAAAAGGGAAACATTAAAGTTGCCTTGTTATCATTAACTATTAACTACTGTCTTCCAAACTTTGAAACAGATTTTTTAACTGTACTCCAGAATGCAAAAGACTACAAATTAAAAGTTGTTTTTAAAGAAATTGAACACTGGACAAAACTCTCCATGCAGCTTTTGTGTTTATTTTGCTCTCCCTAGTGTGCTATATAAAGAATACTGCTTGTACCCCTGTAGATCAAACAGTAGTCTTAAACAGTAGGTTTGTGGGCCAATGATGCATAGTGTGCTGCTCTTCTGAATTGTCTTTGGCATGTTTTATCTGAGATTAGAGTTGTTTCTCTGGCCTAGAAGTGCTCTATAATGTGCAGGAGACTGCAACCAGACTTTCTACCCCTAAGTCTCCAACATCGCATGCATTAAGACACATTGTCTCCAGACCCAGAAATCCAACCAGATGTGACAGTCTGAGCTTCTCAGACTTCTTTTAGGATTTCTTCTCACTCACAAGATGTCAGCTGAGCAAAGCTACAGTATCTTTTCTCCTCCTCTCGCAGATGCTCCCAGGGCTGTTAGTCCACTGTAATCCAGCCTTGAACTGGAGCCTTCGCTCAGAGATTTATGTAATATAATATAGATATAATATAATATAGATTGAAATATTATATTCTAATTCTGCTGCATCCTCCTTTTAGAGGTTCATTGTCTTGGAATGCAGTTATGAGGATGCTTCCTGGCCTAGGATTGCAACAGACACTTTCTTTTCTGAGTGGCTCCTCAATTCCTACTCTGTTTTAACTTCTATTTGGGCAATTTCATGTGAAAAATCCCTAAAGAAGTTTAATATCTCGTGAGATTCCATATTCTTACATGAGCAGTGAGATCTTGCCCCTCAGGAAACTTTGTTGCCCCCATTGTTGGTGATGTGGTGATTATTGCTGCTGCCTTACTGGTCTTGCGTTCTGGGATGGATTAGATTCTAGTGGAGTTTGAATGTTCCCCTTGTGTTCATGGGGGCTTTTGCGTAGTATTCCAGTTTTCTCTGACATGCCAGCGTTAGCTGGTATCTTTAAGTTGTGCTTGTGAGTATATGTGTACCATATGATAAACTAAACCTTGTATCCTGTGCTTCTGGGCTAGACTCCAGGTTTCCATGTTTTTCACCAGAAATAAGCAGCTTTCTGATAATTGATGGATGCCTACCTGTTTATGCTGGTGAGCTTGGATTAAAGTGCTGCAGCATCAATGACTCACTCAGATTACTTGGCTTTTAATGCTTTAGCGGTCTCTGATATCCAGCGCCATCGTCTGCCTCCCCCGGAACACCCTTGCAGAAGTATGAATTTTAACTGCATACTATATCTTGGTTTAGTGATGGTTGATTATTCTCACCACTTATAGACATGAAGCACAATAAAATCTGGCCAAAACATTTAATCAAGGGAAAGAAGTTTGTCACCGAAAAAGGTTGAGTCATTTAAAGACACAATGATTATTTGTAAAAACAAAGTCACACGAAACAGCTCTGCAGTAAGTGGTGTTAGAATTATTTGCAGTATTGATGCTAGACTTTCTATCCCCAGTCTCCACACTGATTCCTTAACATTTTTCTTTTGGCCATAAGAAAAGGCAAAGTAATATACTGTACGAGTTCTAGGAAAGTTTGTTAAGACTGGGATTTTAAGGGATATCCCAATGATTACACAGTTGTTTTGTCCTAAAAAAGTAAAAATGTCAGAGATAGCTCTTGCTCTAGTCTAGAGTATATTATGTTTGTGCTTTCCATTTGGATGTTTTTTTTTCCATATGGAGAAAACAATTCTAACAAAGCAGTACATTTGATCATAAGAACAAAAGCTTTCCTTTGGAAGTAAACGTACAGTATTTCATTGTGAATATTACATTGCCTAGAAATGCTACTGAAGGTAGAAGTTTGAGCAATCAGGCTTTCTAAACCACATGTTTTTAGAGTGGAAGATAGTCATTGCTACCAGTCAGTTATTTTTTACAAACCAGAAATCGAACCCTTAACATCTGTACCTGCATTTCCTAATTGTTTTCACTCTCTATTTCAGGAGTCTGTGGTTGCTGTGGGGCCCTAAGACCCCGTTACAAGAGACTTGTGGACAATATCTTTCCTGAAGACCCTGAGGCAAGTGAACTCGGTTTTGAAAGGGAAGGTGTCAGTTTGTATGTTTAGCTTATAATTTCACTTGGGTTCCTTAATGGATGAATGGTTTCACAGTTTTCGTAATGTGCTGCATTTAATAATTTATAAAGGTTAAGTTGAACTTCTTATCAGAATTTTTCACAGTCCTCACAACTTTGAGATTAAAATATGTTCCTAGACACAGATTTAATATACTACTGGAACCAATACAATTGGTTGCATTTTTTTAAATTGGTTGCAATGTTTTTTTAATGTGTGAAAATCACAACAGTTATGCATTTTACTGTGATTTGTTAAGGCAGGACTATTCAAATTGCAACCCTTCCAGACTGCTTCATTACAGCTGCATTTTATATTGATTATTAGCTATAAGATTGGAAGGGCTGCAAGTTATGAAAAACTTGTAACAGTGCTGTTTTGGCACAAGAATCTATAGAATATCTCAAAACATTTAAACTAGAAAAGAAGGAGGAGAACCCAATGAAAACTAAAAGAAAGATATGTGGAGAATAAAGTTAGTAAGAGAGTTCAAGTGAAAAACAAACAATTAAGTGTTCAAATTTAAAAAAATCAAATCAACATTTCTTTAGAATGAGAAAATAAACATGAACAGACAGTCTATTTCATGATGATTCTTTCCCTTGATTCCAATACCTCAGGTACAAGAGTGTCACATGAAAAGGAAGCGAAATACTGTTCCTCACTCCTGCTCTCTGTCAAGTATGAGAAAATGACAGTGACATACTGACCCCCTCTCTCCTCTGTGATAGTGAGATGCTGACCCTCTATCTTCCCTCTCTGCCCAGGACGGCCTTGTCAAAGCCAACATGGAGAAGCTGACCTTCTACGCTCTCTCTGCCCCTGAGAAACTAGACCGCATTGGAGCATACCTCTCCGAGAGGCTGTCCCGAGATGTGGCCAGGCATCGATATGGGTGAGCCTCAGCTTTAATCTGCCATGGAACAAACCGCAACACTGTTTTATTTCTTTTTGGAAGAAATCTGGCCACAGATTTTTGAAGTTACATTCAAGTTATACAGATATAAAATATTAGGCCAATATTTCTTATTTACCCCTAGTAAAAATAATTAAGGTAAATGCAATAAACTCATGATGGCACGGTGGTGCCGTGCTTGATATTTCTGGGGCCCTGGGTTCAATTTCCTGTGCTGATATCCGCGCGGGCCCCGTGGTTGCATGGGTTTTCTCTGGGTGCTCTGGTTTCCTCCCATAGTTTAAAGACATACTGGTGGGTTATTGGCTTCTGGGAAACTTGGCCCTGGTGTGAGTGTGTGTGTCTATGTGTGCCCTGCAATAGACTGGCGTCCCATCCAGGGTGTATCCCACCTTGCTGCCATGGCTTGCCAGGATAAGCTGTGGCTCCCCCATGATTCTAGATTTCATAAAGCAGATAGAAAATGGATGGATGGATAATGAGCTCATTTAAATTGCAACTTTTGTTATTATGACTGCAGAAAGTAGAAAAACTCATCATCACAACAGCCTTTCTCTTAGAATGTGTTGAATGGTAGTCTGACATATTTCTAGAGTTTAGTACAGAAGGCCTTATTTTCTGTGCTTTTCACTCTTGACAGGTATGTCTGTATTGCAATGGAAGCTCTTGACCAGTTACTGATGGCATGTCATTGTCAGAGCATTAACCTCTTTGTTGAGAGCTTTCTGAAGATGGTACGCAAGCTGCTGGAGGCAGATAAACCCAACCTACAAATACTGGGCACCAACTCGGTGAGTGATTCTTTGGTGTTCCGTGGACAATTTTCTACAACAAGCACTAATGCAAGAAGCTTGAATGTCTTCATTATGAAAATGTATTTGGAGCAATCAAGTGATTGGAAAAAGTGGTGCAAACGTTTTATGTACAAATCTGCCAATTATGCTGAGTTTAACTTCATATCTTCTTTGAGCTTCTGACTTTTTCTGATTATTACATAGTTGAGAGGTGGCATTAATTGCTCATCTCCCAAAGCTATTCAGTTCACTTTGAATTCCTGCACTTTAGTAATTTAGTATCTGGTGTTAAGGTAACCTTATTACTATCCACGAACCAATTCCAGATTAGCAGTATCTTTTTTGTACCATGTCGACAAATGTGTTGTGTAATTCCAACATCCCTTTATTTGCATAGTGCTTGATGCTATTTTAGATTATATTACACACTTTTCATTTTTCATCTTCATATTTTGTTGGCCTTTGTAATTGCCTCCCCCATTCAGCTGCGATATTGAAATCCTTCCAGTATGAGTAACATCCTCACACTAGTGCCACTCACCTTATATTTATAATGAGCTTTTTTGAGATATGAAAATGTATCTATATTTATCTAGATTAAACTTAATTTCCCACGGGTTTGGCTTGTCCTTGATTGTGGTTGAGTTATTTTTAATGGCTTGAATACCTTTTGTCTTTTACGTATTCATTTTGAAGACACAAAAGACAATTGCAGTACTGACATACTGACCAGCATTTCTGCTTTAAATGTTAGGTGATAAATTTAATTGAAACCAGCCGCATTCTATTATGGATTTTAGTTGCGGCTGATATCCCACAAGACTGTTTTTTGGCTGAAGCTCTTAGCATTTATTCATTAAAAGCTTTAATGAAGAGTAAGAGTATTTCTTTTTTTAAGGTAAGTCACTCTGCATTTTTGTGTCTCATCTTACTTTTGGGCCACATGCAGGCTAAGTGATTTTTTTATGCAAAAAGGCGAGTTTAGTATTTTTGAAAACAACGCTAAAGGTCTCTGCAATGCACTGGCTCTGCCTCCCCCGTGACCCTGTATTGGATTATGTAGTTAGAAAATGGATGGATGGATGTTAAAGGCGTAATGGACATAATGAAGGAATAATTGATGAACATTTGTTGTGGCATTACATTTCCAAATGGTCTGCAGAGAACATTATCTGCAGCAAATTGAAGGGTTTTGCTTCAGCTGAACGGATAAAATGACACAAACATAAATTGTGAAAATCATTACTGTCAGACATAAAATTTCAATTTTACACTGTGAGGGTGTCTTGCCAGTGGTGCATTTTTTATTTTTTCTTGTTTGATGATAGGATGGAATTTAATTAGTGATCAGATACCCTTTTCGGCTTGTAATATTGTGCTACAGAAGTCTAGAATTACTGTCCTATTGCGGAAGTAATGTTAAGTGATCACACATGAGCTAGCCGTCAACAGCAAACCAATTACAAACTTTAAAGGGGATAAAAGAGATTGGATACTGTGAAAACTGTGTTAAACACAGTGGAGAAAAAAATAATGTGTACCATATAAGATTCAGTCACAAAGAAAAACAGATGAATTCTAGATTGCAGCTGGGATACCAGATGTGCTTAGACATGGTCAGTACATACTTTATACTTGTACATACTTTATGTTGTAAAAAAACATTTCCCTAATTAGTTATGAGTACTATATATTAAATGTACTCTTTCCTTATCATTTTCCAACGAAAAAAAAACCATTGGAATGTTTTTTGAGCAATTATTATGAAACTCCATTGTGGACTGTAATTCATGTCAGTTTGTACACGGTATACTGAAAGTAAAAAAAATGAATGTGGTACTTTTTCATTCTTTAATTCATAAAGATTTCTCTCTTTTGTTACTGTATGTCAAAGTAATTCATACTGAAACCAATGTATAACCTAAAATGCTCCATTTGTGTAATGAAAGAGCCACAACTTACCTCTGATAGAAGAAAACACTTGTATTGTAGGTGCTTGTTCACATTATCTTGGCAAAAGTCACATAATATAGAAGGAACCAACAAAGAAAATTGTTTTTGTGAGAATATCTGCACGAATTGGGCACTGAAATTTCAAATATTTAATAGTCAAAAAATACAAATTTATTGGGGGTTAAAACAAAGTACCTAATCGTCTGGGACTCGCAGGCTAAAAAAAATCCTAGGTTTGCTTTCAGGGCAGCAACAGCATCCGTCACCCTGTTTTGTAAATCACATAATCTGACTTTAGGCTTTCTGCGAAAGAGGCGCCAAAAGAAAGTACTTTGTTAAACCAGACTGAACAGAAATGTAGTCTTTTCACTCAACTCACGTTAAAGATCAGTGTGAGTTCAGGAAGAATGATGAAGGGTACTCACATTAACAATAAGTTTGAGTTAGCATTTACATCAAAAAGCCTGGTGGTCAAGAAGAGTAAAGATTCAGACAGGGATTATTCATGTTTTCAGGATTCTTAAAGGGATAAGCAAACTCCCAGACTTTTAATTTGAATTTAAAAGAGAGAAATAGAAGGCCAGAGGCACAAATTGAAAGAGCATCTGATTTGAAGTGTGGGAACAGGAAGTACTTCTTTAAACAAGGGCTGTGAGCATAACAGATGCGGGTCTGAATCTTGGATGATGAGTGAATGAGTAAATGAGCATTCAAGAATACTTGATGGGATTATTTCTGGCTGTATTACCAATCAAAAAAACAATGCCGTGTTCTTAATTAGGTGGAACATAAGAACTTAAGAATAGGTACAAATGAGAGGAGGCCTTTCAGCCCATCTAGATAAGTGATCCAAGGATCTTGTGCAGCCATTTCTTGAATCAAGCCATAGTATTGGCTTCAACCACATGGCTGGGTGGCTTGTTTCTGAGGTATGAAGTGCCTCCTCTTTTCTTTTTTAAATGCACTTCTATACAGTGCATGTAGTTTCCTCTTTTGTCTACTTGTTCAGGTTTCACTGATCCTTGAAGACGTCCTGTGGGCTATTTGTCAATATTTTGAGAATTTTTGCTACTTTTATCAAGTTCCACTGTAATAATCTCTGTTCAGGACTGCAATGGTTCAGTTACTTTAGTTATTTATTGTAGAACATTCCATGAAGTCCCAGAATACATCTGGTTGCTTTACTGAGGACTTATTCTTGATTTTTTGTTAACGTTGTAACCAAAATTTTACACAGCATTCTAAATGAGGACTAATTTGTGCATTTTATAATTTTAACATTGCATCCTTTGATTGGAATTATACACTCTTGACTATATAGCCTAACATTATATGTGCCTATTTATTGCTTCCCAATATTGTGTGGAATATTTTAGTGTCTTTTTCATAGATAACCTCTTTTAGCTCTGTGTTTTTCAGTGTGTGTTTTTTTTTTTATAAATCCTGAAATCCTGCACTCAACAAATTTCATGTCAGGTGTTTGCCCAGTCTTGAATTTCCACTAAATCTTTTTGAATTTCATCTGCTCCTTCTACAGTGTTAGCTAATATGGTATCATCTGCACACTTGATTAATTTACTAATCACCAGATACCAGAATCTAGGTTATTTTAATAAATTAGCAATTAGCAATATCCTAGCACACATCCCTGTGGTACAACTTAATTACATCACCTAATTGGAATATTAACCTTTTATCTGTATTCTTTTTTTCCCTATTTATTAACCAGTTCTCAATCCAGTTACATACTGTACATATCCATGAATGTCTTCTGCCTGTAATTTGAGGATTAATCTTTTATGATGAGCTTTAAAAGCCTTCTGAAAATCTAAATACACCATACTTGTGTATGGCCTCTTCTATGTCAATATTTCTAATTCATAATGTTGTCTTTAATTAAGAATTTTTTCTTAAATTTCTAACCACGATGGTCTATATTCCTGGTGGGCTTTAACATACTCCTAATTAATATGCCTTTGAAATTCTTTTAATGAATCTGACCCACATAGATTCAGGGATTCCTGATTCCTCTTCCTTAATTTCCTCAAACTGAATATTCTTTTTAATGTACAGTATAGCACTGCAGGTCCCCTTCTGCTGTCTTTTCTGTCTTACCTGGTGGGGGCACTGCTGGTGTACTTTCCATCAAGGAAGTTCACTCAGCTGGCTTCACTATGCTCTAACTTCCCCTATAAAAATGTTCAATTTGAGCAATAAAATTTTGATGAAAATATTGACTTAAAAATATGTATAAATAAATTATTTGCAACTCAACAAAAATGGAACATCATTGGAAGGGGGTGAATACTTTCACAAGGCACTGTATACCAGTGGTTAGAAACAGGGCACACAAAGTAGCATTCTCTTTCTTTATTATGTAATACAGTCTATAAGCAGACTTAGTATAAGTTAGGCAGTTGTAAAATTATGGTCTTAAAAGAAGAGCAGTGGGGACCTGCTCTCAGATGCAGAACACATGAATTGAAGTAGAAACAGTCACTTCTCTCTCTTTCCAGTTTGTGAAGTTTGCGAATATTGAAGAGGACACACCCTCTTACCACCGCAGCTATGACTTCTTTGTGTCCCGTTTCAGCGAGATGTGTCACTCCAGTTATGAAGACCCTGATATTCGCATAAAGTAAGTCTGAGGCAGCCTGTGATTAAGAATGGGGCTTGCTGTTGTGGTCATCTGTTCTCTTATCCAATATATGCTGTTCCATGGGTCATGTTACATGAAACATTTCTTCTTGCTCAAACAAAATGCACTTAGGAGTATGTCTTCAGTGAATTTATTTAAATGTATTTTTCTAAATTTTAGGGGTGTGTTTTTTTGTTTTTTTAAACATTGAACAAAACCATGGCATTTCCAAAATACTTGGATAGGAATATTTTTTTCAGTACATCAGTGTTAACAACTCTACTTTTAACAATGGCAAAACTGTTATAAAATAAATAACCATAAACTAATGACTAACAGTGCTAACTAGGATCTTACAGTGCAATTCACCTTTGATGTCCGCTTTTCTTTTAGTGGTAAAGTTGATAAACATTAATTTAATTTACAGGAAAGAATGAAACTTAACTCAGTTTCCACTTCCATAGAGATCGATTGATGCATCTGGGTCCTCTCTACTTTAACACCTTCTCTAAACCTATCTCTTTAATTATGAAGCATCAAACTAATTATTGATGTATGAATCACTGTTTTTTAAAAGTAGAATATCAAGAGCACTAGTTTTATGTTTGTGAATATAATAAGGCTTCAGTAATGTGAAATACAATTCCAGTACTTGAAGGTACAGAGTACATTTGTTGAATTTGATCCGCATATCTTGTGCACCTTTTTCAAAATAACCTCCTTATCGGAACATCAGTAACATTTCCCCTAGTTCTGTATGCATTGCATTTGAACTGCGGACAGCTGCATGTGCATTTATTCAACAGTTTTTCCTCTGTTCAGGCAGTTAAGCAATCAGGCTGCTGCAGTAGGTATTTAAATTACAAATATAAATAATAATAATTATACTTTAAATAAATAATATAAATATAATACATAAACATTTTGATGAAGCTTGAAATCTTGCTGAGATACAGTTGCACATAGGAAGTATAGGAAGTGAACACTAATAGATACACAACTACTGTATGCAAATGTCTTAGACATTTTGCATTATTCTAGTCCTTCTCTGTTTTCAGTTTTATGACAATCTTTTACTGAAATTGTAAGAGTTAAGAGTTAATCCTGATAGATCTGTATTTTGCAAAACAAAAAGTAGCATTTTAGGTTTGTGGATGTGTAGAGAAAAAAAACATTTTTTGAATGACAAGGAAGACCCGTCAATGAATCAATAACACTTGAGACCAGTTACAGGTGTAGTGGAGAACACTAATGGTAAAAAATTTAAGCAAATTGTTGATGCACAACAAAACCATATTGCAGCTCTTAAATATGTCTTGCATGACTGTGCTGTGCATTCTTCGCTGATTTCAGAAGAAAACTCATATCCCGTCCATTTAATGCCTTGCAAAATTACTTACCCTCTTCCTATGATGTATGTTTGCAGTTTTTGCAGACATGTAACTCCTTTCACCCATAAAGCATTCAAATTGAGCTTTCAGTTTTGATTTAATTTTTTCACTTTAATTAACTTTTGAAAAACACTGTATAAAAAGTGTTTAAATAAAAAATGATTTATTAAATAGTACCTAATACTTTGGTTTTAACTTATGTGTGACACTGTTCAATTTCAAGGCATAACTGAGTTTCATAAAAATCACATCTGAAAGTTCAGGAGAGAAATGAATTTGAAATTAACTAATGTTCACTCATCTCATGTGACACAGATTACACAAATGTCCTCTTATCAAAACAAAGCTAAAGGAGAAATCGCCAAAGATAGATTAATTCTTGAATATTTGAGCAACAACCATTGATAAGGACTGCTGAGAGAAACATTGACCTATCTTGGCAATGAGATTAGAGATTTCTTATCTGCTTTCAATCACTTTTACTTGTGCATGAGTCACTGGGCTCTATTTTGCAAAGTCAGGTCCTGCCAGCCATGTCCAGGCACCAGCAGTGCAATTTTGTTTGAACGTTAAAATGCAATTCTACATCTAATGGATTCATTCTTTGTGAAAAGGGTTTTTGTATTGCTGAATCCTCTTTTTTCAAGTTCCCATTTCTGCCTGCTTAGCTCTTTTGGTTTTAAATAAAAAAAATACTTTGCTAGCCTTTGGAGGAGATCAAACCTACAGTAAGTGCGACTTCGGTGGTGTAAGAATTGCGCTGTTGCCTCTCTGCTCTGGGATCCTGGGTCCGACTAACATTTTGGATGCTGCTTTGAGTAGAGTTTGCATGTTCTCCCTGTGTTCACTGAGTGCAGGTTTGATTGGATACTCTTAAGTTGTTCCTTACTAGGAGAGGGGGATTCCAAAAATAATCAGTACTGGTTATGTGACTGAAACAGAACCAAAAATGGGCATGATGGGACTAGTGGCCTTCTCATTTATAGCTGTTGTGTTGTACTTTGGTGCCTTATAGGATACGCATGGCTGGCATCAAAGGTCTGCAGGGGGTGGTGAGGAAGACTGTCAATGATGAGCTGCAGGCCAACATCTGGGACCCCCAGCACATGGACAAGATTGTCCCATCGCTGCTCTTTAACCTGCAGCAGGGAGAGGGCACAGAGAGGTATGTCAGCAGAGAGAGCTTGGGCACAACAGTACCCTCCACCTCTTTATACTATTAAGGCAGGATGTGTTAATTTTCTTTGATAATTGTCACCACCTAGTCAGAGCAAATTTGGACATGTTTTTACCGTAACAGTATAACATAACATCACTTTATTAACCCTATACAATTTCTTGCATTAGGAATTCGTTTTTTCGCATAACCCAGCTTGCTCTCCATGAGACACAGACACACAGACAGGAATTGTACAGCCCCCCTGGAGCAGTTGGGGTTAAGGGCCTTGCTCAGGGGCCCAACGGAGTAGGATTCCTCTGCCGGCTGCGGGATTTGAACCAGCAACCTTCTAGCCACAGGCGCAGATCCTTAGCCACAGAGCCACAGCTCCGCCCCTATTTTACACATCGTCTTGATACTGCTGAGTTTCTGTTGTGTTTTCTGTCAGTGTTAGAAAACCAACCGTTTTGTTTAGTTAGCAGTTTTATTGCAATTATGGTTGTTCTTGAGAGTAACCAAGATGGTGGCATGCACAGACGCACTGGCTGAGCCGGGTCTGGAAGAAACGGTGCTAAATGTTGTTCCAGTGTTAAATGTTGTGTCTTGTCCGAATTTTTCTAACGTCTACGATGTTTTGACCCTACTGGAAATTAGAAAACGATGCAAGGACTATCCACCGAGTATTAAGATGAAGAAGCTAAGTAGCCTTGGCTTACTGTGAGGATCAGGTCCCAGAATTGCGGACCCACCTGTTACAGTTGTCCAAGGGAGGAGGTGCCAGAAGTTGTGTGAAAGAAAACAAAAATGAGGCAACAGGGCTGGAATCCAGGCCAGGCTTTAAGCTAATCCTAACAGACTGGCTCTCCCATCAATTCTACTTTCTAACGTACAGTACGTTCTCTGGAGAACAAACTGGATTACTTAAGATTACAACTGGCTACTCAGCGAGAGATGGAGTGCTGCGTCTTTATTTTTTACTGAAACATGGCTAAATCACAATATTCTGGATATGGCCATTCAGCTAGATGGACTGACTTCCTTCCGTGCGGACAGGAAAGTTTCAGTGACCAGTAAGTCTTGCGGAGGTGGTTTGTGTGTTTATACAAACAAAGAATGGTGCAAAAATGCTGCAGTAGTCTCCAGTCACTGCTCATCGTCAGAATTAATAACGATTAAGTGTCAAACCTCCTACTTACCAAGGGAATTTATTACTGTTCTTACGGTGACGGTGTATATCCCACCCAGCGCTAATTCTAAAGAGGCACTGCGAGTCCTTTATGGGACCATCAGCTTTCTGAAAACTGCTCATCCTGTCAGCTTTATCATTGTTTTCTGGCGACTTCAACCATGCGGATCTTAAGACAGTTCTTCCTAAATGTTATCAATAAGTTAACTTTGCAACCAGAGGGGAAAACATACTGGACTTAGTTTACAAAAATATCCGTGATGCATACAAAGCTGTGCCCCTCCCCCACCCAGTCTACTTTTATTCCAGCATACAAACCGCTGCTCAAACATGCCAAACCGGTTCCGAAACAGACCGGAGTATGGCCAGATGGACCCATCTCAGCATTACAGGACTGTTTTGAGCACACACATTGGAATATGTTCAGGGAGGCTGCTTCCTATGATCATCTTATTAATTTTGAGGAGTATGCAGCATCTGTGACTGGCTACAACAGCAAGTGTATAGATGACGTCACTATCTCTAAATTTATCATCACACGGGCCAACCAGAAGCCATGGCTGACTGCAGAGGTCCATGCACTGCTAAGAACCCGTGAGGCTGCATTCAGATCAGTCGACAAGGCAGCCCTTATGACTGCAAGGACCAACCTGTACCGTGCCATCAGGAAGGCAAAGCGAACCTTTACACGGAAAATCCATGGCCACTTCCTGAACACCAGAGATACGCGGCCCATGTGGCAGGGCATCCAGGCCATTACTGATTACAGCACTACCCCGCTTGTCAGTGACAGTGATGCCTCCTTCCTGGATGTTCTGAACAACTTCTATGCACAATGTGAAGCAATGAACATTCCCTTCCCCCGATGATCAGGTGCTTTGCCTGTCCGCAGCTGATGTGAGGAGGACACTAGCCAAAGTTTATCCACATAAGGCTTCTGGACCCAATAATATACCTGGTCGCGTGCTCAAGGAATGTGCAGAACAGCTAGCTGACGTCCTCACATATATTTTAAATATCTCCTTGTGCCAGGCGGTCATCCCGTATGCTTCAAATCCACCAATATTATACCAGTGCCGAAAAAGTCAGCCGTGTCCTGCCTCAATGATTACTGCCCCGTGGCACTCCAATTATAACACCAATTATCATGAAATGCTTCGAGAGGCTAGTCACAAGCCC